CCCCCCCCCCTCCCCCCCCCCCCCCCCCGCCAATATACACCTTTTAGGACCGAAGGTAAAACCTCCCCGTCCGCTCATTTCGGGCCAGACCCCGCTGGAAAATACCCGTCTACAATCAACAAGGGGGACGGGGGAAAAGAGGGAAGACCGGCGATGCCCAGAATTAAACTTTAAAGGCCGCCGGCGACTCCCGGACACGCTCCCGAAGGGGGTGCAACGACCCCCCCCCCGCCGCCGCCCGCCCACAGTCTACGCTGAGAGAGGGACATCTTGTCCGACATCCTGATTACAATTATAATGTGAAATAAAATATTAGTCGGCTTCCTAGCCTTCGTCGCCTTCCCCCACCGCCCCAGAACCTCCTCTCCCCCCATGCTCGGCCGCCGCCGCCTCCTCCTTTCCAGTCCACGGCGCGACTAAGGGCCCCGGTCGGTGCTCTCGGGTTTAAGCGCCACCCCCGGACCCCAAAGCAAGATGGGGGCGGGTGGATTTCGCCCGAACCCGCTTTAGGGTCTCGTGTTAAGGGCTTGGCTGGAGCTGGAGCGGGACCCCGCAGGGGCGGGGAGCTCACAGGCCCGACTTGGGTCGAGGCCTCTCCCTCACGGCCCGTCCAATACAGCCCAACACGGCCGCCTTCTTTCCCGGTTTTAAGCCCAACCCGGCCTTTTCGGAGAGCCCCCCGTCTCCGCAGCACCCCGCGGCTTCCAAAATCTCGCCGCCGCCCCCTTCAGCTCCTCGAGGCCTACAGCGCTCCTCCTCATCCCCGGCCTCGCGTAGCGCGCCTCGCCACCCGCCCCGCGCACCCTGTGCCGCCTGCCGCTTTAAGAGAGCCCGGGGATAGAGGCCGGGCCTGGCTTACCTTTCCAGCTGCTTTTTTTTCTCTCCTCTCTCTCCTCTCCCCCCTTTCCCTCTGTTGGGCTGACAGACCAGAGTTTCCTCCCCAGCAGAGGGACCGGGGAATGGGCTCGGAGCGGCTTCAGTGCTGAGGAGCTGCTGCTGTTGCTGCCCCCCTGGTTCTGAGGAGAAAGATTCCTGCTTTTAGAAAAGAAGAAAGCTTTGAACGGGAGCTCTTTATTATTTTAAAACTACAAAGTGCTCAGAGGGTAGGTGATTATTAAGGGGAATCCCTGAATATATTCTCCAGCAAAGAAGGCAGGGCTGCTGGGGCTGCTCAAGAAGAGAGCTTAGCAGCCTCCTACAGCACCACTACAGGCACTGAGAGGACATAACACCAGAGAGCGGTTCCTCTGCCCTCCAAAACAACAACTTTCCTACCATCTTGGAGGTAGTATAGAGAGAAAGAAGAAGGAGGAGGAGGAAGAAGAGGTGGAGGAGAAGGGGAGAAAAGTACAGTACGTTTTTTGATGAAGTGTTGATTTTTAGAAAGGCAGATTTTATAAAGATGTGGGGCAGAACCTCCTGTGCAGAAGGAAGATCAAGTGGTTTGTCTTAATTCCTTGGAAGCTCAGATGACACTTAAAAAGGTGAAAAGAGAATATTTTAATAAAGTTTTTCTAACGAATTGTTATTATTATTTAAATTAAAAGGGGCCAGCGTTTGGCTCCCTTCTCCATCATATCTGAAGTTTAATGTGAACTTAATAAGTTTGCCTGATAGTTCTGAAAAATGTCTATAAACTTTTGTGGAATGGCTAATATATATTTTTCTGTAGAACTAACCTGAAATTGACATGGGATAGTTTTGGGAGAGCTGAATCTTAACTTTGCTCAGCATAAGGTAGATTAATCAGGTTTTAGATGGGAATAGCACAGATGTTTAGAGATCAAGATGGTATCTGGGATCAGAAAAAAATTAAATATAAATACATGGGATGTATTATTATGTATTCTGCTGTTTATAACAGTGCAACCTGAGAGTGAAATAAAAGTACTTTCAATGACAAAGGCAGCAGTGTGATTTTAACAAATTTATGAAGTATTTTTTAATTTTGCCATAGTAGAAATCTTTTTATCTGTGTTTTGAATTTAACCGTCAATGTGTTTTCAAATCTCAAACTAATTTTAGGTCCTTATTCCAAGCTCTAATTAAAAGTTGTGAAGAAGAGATTGTGATTCCTTCTTTCTTTTTTGGTGTGCCTATGTGTTTGGGTCTCACACAGAATGTATATAAAAATTATAACATTACAAAAGATTCATATTCATAAGTTATCAAATCATCATGTCTGATATGAAGTAAAGCATTGAACAATACTTAGAAAAATGTTTAGAGATTCATAGTACCCAAATGTAAATGTTGCTGTATTTCAAAGATTTATTTGGTTGAAATTGTATTGTGGTTCAGGCAGTAGCAACAGTGAAGTGGGTTTAAACTGCTGTTATCTTTTTTGTCTTTTTTGTCTTGTTTTTGCTTATGTTTTGTTTCTTTTCTGATATACTTGCATAGATTAACATGGCTACCTCTTCTAAAAGTGCTTAAGGATAGCTTTTCTCTTAGGTAAGGTATCATGTCTTCAATTCAGCATTGGCTTCATGTTTCAGACTGTTTCAAATGAGTCCTGATTCTCAATTGTCCAAATGCTGGATATGTTCTTTCTTTTACTGTAGTGTGTTTTGCTAGTATACATGCCACTGAATTGGGCATTCCAATGTTTAACAGATTGGAATTAACTTCCATTGGTTTTCACATATGTTTTTTGTTTTTTCTATGTAAGTGCATTTAGAACATTTCTTTACTAAGCTGCAGATCTTAACAGGTTAGCTCTAGTCCTGAAGTTGTAGTTTTTATAGTTTTTCATTTCTAAATTGTCCTTATTAACTGGCTATTTTTGTCAGTAGTAATTGCCAGATTTCCCTTCAGTCCTGCATATTTCTTAGGGGGGGGGAATTGTTCTAAAAATAATAAAGGAGACATCTTTCTAGTATAATTGCAATATACCTAATTTTAGCCCCCCCTAAGCTGCTCTGGTCATATTAGAATGTGTGGTTAGTCAACAGACATCTAGAGGAGGAAGTGCTACTGGAAAGTTGTTGGCTTTCTCTGTTCTAGTCTATTAGGATCTTGAATTTTTGTTGGACATTCAAATAGTCCTTTTTTCTTTCAAGTAGAAGGTGCTAGTGAAAACTCTGTTGGCAAACTTTAGACTTTACTAAGTAATCAAAAGGTTTTGCCACTGTCATTTTGCTTTGGCTCTTGCAGTGACCAAGCAGAATTCCATCTACAGGTATTCTTTGGATTCTGTATACTGTATGTAGGCAATTCAATCACTTGTCACCTTCAGTTACTGAGGGGAGGGCATGTTATCTGTGAATGATCTATGAATGCTCTCATTCATTATGAGAGGTGAGTGTACGTTTTGTGTGCTGTACAGTCAACTCTTCTTCTGGCAGTTGTCCATCACAGTGTGTCTCTTTTTGGATCATGCTCTTAATTCCACAGCAAAACATAATAAAAAGAAGAAAAGAAAAATATGTGGTGTACTTAAGAAGAATCCCAAAAGAGTTGGGCAATACCTTTATCAGACCACTGATAAGATATTTTAATGGTCCAATAAAGGTATCATCTAGTCCTGGTTTTGTATTCTGTTCCATATTTACAGCCATGGGGATGTGAGCTGCTGAGCCTCATGGCACATTAGTTAAACTGCAGTACTGCAGTGAAGACTCTGCTTATGATCTAAGTTTGATCCCAACAGACTCATGTAGCTGTCTCAAGATTGACTCAGCCTTCCATCCTTCCAAGCTCAGTAAATTGAGTATACAGCTTGTTGGGGGAGGGGGCAATGTGTAGCCTGCATAATTAAATTGTAAACTGCACATAGAAAGCATTAAGCACTGAGTGGTATATAAAGCAGCACACTTTAAGTAGAGTTTGGTGGTGAAGTCTTTCTTCCCTTTTTGCATTGCCTTGGAGAAAATAAAGTAGACCTCATGCAAATGGTGGCCAGGGTAGAGCAACTCCAGATTCTCGTTCAGGTACCTTAAGTGCAAGAGGCAAAGTAATTATGATTTTAACATAATGTTGGAGAGCAATATAAGACAGTAAACAACATTAAAAAACAAACTTCTTCAAGCTAGATAAAACAAGCTAAAAATGAGTCTTGACCTCTTTGCAAAATATAGGGAGTGATAAGGCCAATCGGAACTCCAGCGGAAGTGCATTTCAGAGTTCAAAAGCAATGCAGCTAAAGATCTTTTCCCTTGAATCTCTGAAGGTGATATTCAGGGGACTTCTTTTGAAGATCTCCGTATTCAGAGAGGTTCATAATGAGACAGACAGTTTTTCAAATAGCCATACCTAAGTTATTGCAAACCTTAAAAATTAAAACCAATGTCTTAATCTGAGCCTGGGAAACAGTTGTCAACCAGTGGGGCTGGAGCAATGTGCTCATGCTTCCATGCACCAGTTAGCGACCTAGCTGCTGTGTTTTGTAACTTCTGGATTTTTGTTAGTCACTGCCTTATAGTGGCTGAGTTTACATGTCATGATAATCCAGCACTGTAGGTCCCCCATATCTGCTCGAGATTGGTTCCAAGCACCCCTATGGATACTGAAAGCATGAATAATAGTGAAAGCTATATGTATAGCATGCTAAAAGAGGGGCGGGGGGGAGACAGAAAAAAGTATTTTCACATTTATTACCCTGTTTCCCTGAAAATAAGGCCTAACCTGAAAATAGGCCCTAGTATGATTTTTCAGGATGCTCATAATATAAGCATTACCCCCAAAATAAGCCCCAGTTAAGTGAAACCCTGCCCTCCACCATTGTGCAGCAAACATTAGAATATGACATGGCCGCATTTGAATAAATGTAGATTGTTGTACATGGAAAAAAATATCCCCTGAAAATAAGCCCTAATGTCTTTTTTTGGAGCAAACAATGCATGTAAGACCCTGTCTTATTTTCGGGAAATGCAGTACCACAACTGGCCACTAGAGGCCACTAGTATTCATAGTACAGTGGTGCCTTGACTTACTAACGTCACTACTTACAACCATTTCAAGTTATGACCAGCTCTGGGCACAAAATTTTGCATCTACTTGCGACCAGAGCTTCCACTTATCAACAGAAAAAGGAGGAAATTTCAAATTTCTAACTGTAGGTGGCGATGAAGCTGCTTCTTTGTAGCTTTTTCACCCCAGCAGTTAGAGGGTGTGGTCGTTGGAGGCTTAGGATTGCCTTGCTTCTGTTTCTAAGCGCGTGCGCCTTTGTAGCTTTTTCACCCCAGCAGTTAGAAGGTGTGGTCATTGGAGGCTTAGGATTGGCTTGCTTCTGTTTCTAAGCGCGCGCGCGTGTGTGTGTGTGTGTTTGCAGGGAGGCTTTGGGCTGCCTGGTAAGGTAAGGTGCTGTTTTCTGCTTTTTAAAAACTGTTCTGAGTGTTTTTGCACCTGGTTTTGGGCTGGGGGGGTTATGTTTCTGTGCTGTAATGGGTCTTGGGGGTTGTTTGTTTGGTTTCCCTCCCATTTCCGATGGGTCGTGGGGGTTTTTGTTGCTTTTTGGTCGCCCCTCCTATTTCTGATGGGTCTTGGGGGTTTGATTGCTTTCTGGGGGGTTTTCCCCTCATTTCCAATGGGTCTTGGGGGGTTGTTTGTTTGTTGGCTTTCCCCCCATTTCCGATGGGTCTTGGGGGGTTGGTTGCTTTTTGGGGGGCATTTCCCCATTTCCGATGGGTCCTGCATACTTCTCTTGTTTTTTCCTTTGTTTTCTTTGCATTTTCGACCTGCCCCCTTGTTCTCTGTGCATTTCCAATCTGCTCTGTTTGTTTTCTGTGCATTTCCAATGAGTCTTGCACGCTTGATTGCTTCTCCCCCGCTTCACCTGGATGGGATTAATCGTGTTTCCAATGAGTCTTGCAGTGATTTTTTTGGTGATTTTTTTCTTCAGCCGGAATGGATTAATTGCATTTCAATGCATTCCTATGGGAAATGGTGCATCGATTTACAATCTTTTAGAGTTACGTCCATCTTCTAGACTGGATTATGGTCGTAAGTCGAGGCACCACTGTATTCTCTGGGTTTCTTTAGTAGCCAGTTCTGGTAATACATGTGAAAATAGGGGTTTTTTTGGATGTTTTTCTTTTAATATTTTTAATACTTTCAGATAAGTGAGTCAGTGGATAGTAATCCCTTGGATAAGGGGACTCTGCTTTGTTCTGCAAGAAGCCGCCTTCTTGCAGACAAGCAGCATGCTGTTGCATCCTTTCCAGTCACTCCTGCTTGCAGCCGGAGCAGCTAAACAAACAATTAAGCTTCCATTCATGGATTGTTTATTATGACAGCGTAACCTGCTCGGTCATGTAAGCCTGGAAAAATAGTCCATTGAGGATAGGCTCCTGCCATGTTCAGTCATCAGGATAAATTAGATATGGAACATTCATGTTTAGTTATTTCACTAGTGAGCAAGGACCAGCACACTTAGCTTATCAACAAGCCAGAATTTTTTAGACTTCTTAAACCAACTGCACATACCTGGAGAGTGTTCTGCATTAGTTAGATTAGGCATCCTTCAGTCTCGAGAGACTATGGTAACGTGCTCTGTATGGAGGACTTGGAACAGCATCTAGTGTGGCTGAGAAGGCCAATTTGAGAGTGACAATCCCTTCCACATTGTCCTGCTCCCTGATTTTGCTGCTTTCGCTACTGCCTCTTTGCCTCGGCCTGCTGAACAAGGGTCTCTTCAAATTGGGAGAGTCCATGATGCAACACTTGCCTCTAGGCTGAATGCTCAGATGTCAGGGTTTCCCTTCTGTTGAGGTCCATTCCTAAGGCCTTCAGATCCCGCTTGCAGATATCCTTGTATCGCAGCTGTGGTCTCCCTCTGGGATGATTTCCCTGCACTAATTCTCCATACAGGAAATCTTTTGGAATCCGACCATCAGCCATTCTCACAACATTCCCAAGCCAGCGTAGACGTCGGTGTTTCAGTAATGTTTACATGCTAAAAATT